GGGGGGGGGAAGGGGGGAGGGAAGAAATCAGGGAGGGAGAATGAAAACATCCCCAAGATCTTCTTTGTAAGAAAGATACATGAAGGATTTTGCTCCATCACTATGCAAACCCCTTTGTTGTTGTTGTAAGTCCCTAAACGAGGATGAGAGAGAGCCCAAGAGTCTGTAAACAGCTCAGCTTTCTTTTTCTTTTCAAGCAGCAAACAGTTTCTGCTGCATAGAGTGCTGACGAGTTTTAGGGTTTGGTGATTTTACAGGGTTTTAACAGAATTTGGGAATAGGAATTTCTCAGAGAGGGAATGAATGAATGTTTTGCCCTAAAACTGATTAAAATGGTGGCTTCAGAAGACACAGAGTCTAGAAAGTGCAGAAACTTTTAAGAAGATTTTTCAAAGACCCTTTAGATGTAAAAGATTGATTTGAAATGTGACTTGTGCTCCTACATCACCAAGGTGCTTTTGAAAATGTCACTTTTTGTCGCACTCTTTGCCCTTTTTTTCAGTCATTCAATGAAATAGGGAAGACAAATGTGGTTCAAATGCTAAACGAAGGTGTTTCCACTGGTCTGTGAATCACCTTCACCAGCATGCAGTGGTCGTGGGCCACTGATGGTCAGTCTGCTTTTTGAGATATTGCACCTCAGCCCAGCCTCCTTCCTACCCAAGAGTGTGAAATACCAGCATCTGCTTCCTTCCTCCTCTTCCTCAGGCAGCCCCACACACTGACAGTTAAAGGAGAAAAAAGTATCCCTAGACCCTCAAATTAGTCAAACAAGTGAAATAACCAATTAAATGGCAAAAATGAAACAAGGAACAGCTTTGTGCAAGGTTCCCCAGTCATGACAGGGGAGAAAAGTCCCTCTGGCCATGGACAACAACTCATGTGCCCTTTCTTACCCCCAAATGCTTGTGACTGGAAGAGGAACTGAAGCTGGGAAGAAAATAAGGAAGAAGCACCATGCCTTTTGATATGAGAAATCCAGACCATGGATTCTGGACTTTTTCAGATAATTAATTTCTTGTCTACATGTTCCACAAGTTCTAGTTTGGAGCACCTGACACAAAGAAATAAAACAAGTTGACAGTGAAAGAAACTGTCTGTTCCTTTTCAGCAGATATCTGAAGCACACTTACAAAACTTTAAAAGCACGTGTTTAATGTGCTTAGCTGGTCATGGGTATCTTTAAGATGCTCCAGTCCTTCCCTAATTTGAACAGTGAATGCACAGCACTGAGCAAAACAAAGCCACTGGCCTCAGGGGGTTTTATTGGTGGAAAAGACAACGAAGTGCAATAGCAGAGCAGGGTGAAAGGAAGCGTGTTGTAAGCGGCAGTGAATCACATTAGTGAGGGGTGCTAAAATCCTCTGCTCCTGTCATATGAGTCTGATCAAGGCTCTGAAACCAAACTTCTCCCAGCAAAACCATGCCCAGCTGGCCGAGCCTCCCCAAAAGGTACTGCTTGCATTTAAATAACACAGGGCTGGTGAAGAATGCTCAGGCTGTTTTATTTGGTTTGGGATCCCTGTGTGCTTCATGTACCCCATGTACAGATCCCTTCCAACAATTTCCTGGTTCAGCCACTCAGGCTCGTTTTGAGAACTGGTTTTCTGTTCTGTAAAAATGCTCAGCTGGAGCTGGGGTTCTGGAGCTGATGCCAATTAGGATGGAAGAGGCCCCAGCTCGCGGGGTCCTGTATTTGTTTTGTAATTGAGTTGAAAGGGTTGACTCATTCCCCTCCACTCTGTCTCCCCCCTCTGCGAGCTTATGAAGAACACAGTATTTCATAAGTACAGACAGGCTGCTGAGTGTGGCTGCCCCAACCCCCGGCCCAGATGTGAGTGCTGCCCCAGATGTGAGTGCTGCCCCCACAACCAGGGAGAGAAGGTGCTGATGGGGGAAACCACCCCCATGTCTCACTCAGAGGATGTGGCAGTGTTAGAGATGAGGGCACAAAGTGGGGTGTCAGCCCTGCATCCCCCTGTCCCCAGCATCCCAGCATCCTGCTCCCAGGGCCATGCTGCATGTGCATCTCCCTCCCCCAGCAAAAAGCACTTGCTTTTTTTTTTTTTTTTATGTTTAAACAAATTACAAATTGCTGGTTTTCCTCAATACCCCCCTCACTGCACGAAGATGTGCTGCTTTTGTAGGACTGGATTACTAATGCACAGATTAGAGAGGATGAGGAGAGTTTCCTGCCCTGCTGGGGGAGGTTTTTGGTGATTTGTCTGGAAGAAAAAGGGTTCGAGTGCTTCTTCTGTGCCCTCCATGTTGTACATGTCAGGGTGTGGTTGGAGCAGATGGACTGAAACACTGCAAAGGAGTTAATATGTTGCTAATCTCAATCTGAAGGACTAAAAATAAGGTATTTTACCCAGAAACTGGTTGTGCAAAAACATGAGAACCCTACTCCCAAAACAGCAGCCCTTCTACTCCCTCTACTCAACCAAACCAAACGGTTTGGCTGAGTAGAGCCAGTGAGATCAAACAAGGACTGAACACAGACATGGTTTTTGGTTTGAAAATTTCTAAATTAAGGGAACATCTGAGTTTTGCTCATTGCCAGAAACTCTTCCTTCAGAGTCAAAGGGCTCCTGTTCTGATGACAAGCATTTGGACAAGACCTTGTCCCAAGGCTAGGCTGAGATTTCAGCATCTACCCTGAGTTATTCCTCAATTTCTCCACAGCTGTTTGCTCATCCTGGTCTTGTGCATCACAAAAAAATCGCCATGGCAGGACAAACCTGGCTCTTGATGAGATCATCATCTCTGTGGATGTGCAGGATGTAGCCCGTCCTGCAGCTGACGTTGCACTGGGTGCCGCTGTCCCAGCCGGTGCCGCCGGTGCAGTTCAGCACCGCGTTCTCGATCTCCAGCCTCTGGCAGTCCGTGGCTTCGCAGGAGTAGTGGACACAGCTGGGAGGGAGATAAGGAGTGGTGGTGTTGTTATTTGATTATTTCAATCCATTCCACAAGAGCAGGGTCTGACTGACAGACTTTGGTCAGAGAGTTCTGAGCCCAGCTCAGGAAAGGGCTCCACAGCCTCTTGGTGCGTGTCCTGAAGGACAGAGGCAGTGGGCACAGTGGTGACAATGACAGTAAATTAGGGGTTTTGTAGCAAAAGGGAAGAGCCTGCCAATTCTGCAGAAGTACCTTCTGTTCTGCAATATTGAATTGCACTATGACCTCCCTACTCCTGTAATAATGTCCATTTCTCCATCCATCCGTCCATCCATCCATCCATCCATCCATCCATCCATCCCTCCCTCCCTCCCTGCCTCTCTCCCTCCCTCTCTCCTTTGAAAACCCTCCCTTCAAGAGCAGTCCTCATGACCCATACAATTTTAAATCTGCTGAATCCATGAGTGCTGATATTGGCAGTGATAAGTGGGCACATGTGAGGAGGGGTTTCTGTGATAGACACTCTTATCTTTGAGAAGCTCGATTGAAATCATCACATTCATTTTATTCCACTTCACGAGGAACACCAAACATCAGCTGTGTAGCTGTGTTGATAAGCTCTTATCAAACTCAGCAGCATGCTGTCATTTCAGATCTCTCCAGTTGCTCTCCTGCCATCCATAAAATCTTTCCCCTATGGAAACTGTCTGTTCTCCTTCTGGAAAATTATTGTAACATTTAGCACTACTTGCAAAAAGAGGTTTTGGTTTATTTTTGACATACACAGAGATGTCTGATTGGCACAAAATCTTTCACCATCTCTGACGACCTGAGTCAAACATTATAGCACATCTTCAAATGTGAATATGGGGTAGTCCCTCAACAAAACAGCAATGGAAATGTTGAGGGTCTTAAAGAATGAGGGGAGATTTAGATTAGAGAGAGGGAAGAAATATTTTTACAATGAGGCTGGTAAAACACTGACCCAGGTTGCCCAGAGATGCTCCATCCCTGGAAAAATTCATGACCAGGTTGGACACGGCTCTGAGCAATCAGATCTAAAGATGTCTCTGTTTACTGCAGATGACCTTTAAAGGTCCCTTCAACACAAACCATTCCATGATTCTATGTGCAAAATGTTTCTGGAATAAAGATGAAATTTCTGGGATAAGGACCCCTACAAGGTGAGATTTCTCTGATGAAATTAAAAATTAATTTAATTTAAATACAATTAAATTAGTTCTGGGGAGGGAAAATGTTAACTTATTTCACCATCTGCTTATTTAGGGAAGAACCTGAAAGGGAAAATTATAGAAAGAAGGGAAAGCAATGTATCAATATACATTATTTTGAAATAGATTACAAACAATTATTCCTGTCTACAGAAAAAAAGGGTTAACAGCCACTAAAGCCCTGTTCAGCTTAGTAAGCCCTGACTTAGCATGTGTGTGGTGTTTTGCTGTGTTCAAAGCACTGTGCAGACATTATCTAATTAATTTTTGTGACACCCCTGCTAGACACCTGGGCTGGTATTGTTATCCCCATGTTACTGATAGAGAAGCACATCTGCACATGTCTCTACTGAGCTCTAGATCAGATTAAATGACAGTATTTATGTACCTGCACAACTCATTTCTCTGTCCTCGACTAGTGCTATATGGGAAGTGCCCACTGCTTGTAATTTAAAGTTGATTGTTCAGTGTTGGCCCTTCCCTGGAGTGTGATGAGCCATAAACAATTCCTACATTCAGAAGTATTTTATTTCCTCATGGTGCGCAAAGCATCGCTGCTGACAGAGCTGAGGAAAGAGAATTCCACCTCTGTGTTGGCCAACTCCACACCCTTGTATGCAACAAACCCCTGGCTATCAGCACAACTGTGATGCTCATCACTTCTTCAGGATGGATGGTCTCTGCCAGAGCTGGCCTATCCACGGTGATCCTGCTTTCAGGAGGATCCCCACCCACTAACCAAGGATTTCACATGTTTTCCAGTCACTGCAACTCACAGCCTGGCATACAGATTTAAACTGCTATGGGTTTAACCCTATAAGGATCGACAAGGCTGTGGATAGAGCAGCAGCAGATCAAGTGAGCAGCACATCCTTGTGCCCAGGTGGCCATCACCAGAGAAACAAGGTGAGGAGAACAGCCAGGTGCTATTTCCTGGCAAATGCCCAACACTAATCACACAGGGGTGTGAACACAGGCTTTACACACCACGAGCCTCACACCCTGCGGGTCCCCAAGCAGAGCAGGACCTTACCAACCTCTTCCTAACCCTACCAACCTCATGGTCCTGCTGTTTGAGTAAGTCCTCAGCTGACATCAGTGATAGCATCTGATGATGGATGTTGAGTGAGAGTGTAAATGACGCTTTGTGGAACCCTCCCTCTTACACGTCCCAGTTAGACTGGCCCATGAGGGCCAACTCTCACTTTGCTCCCCTCCATTTCTCAGATGGTGAGGCAGCAGCATGAGTGTCTCCTGTGCCAGGGCTGCAGTGCTGAGGAAGTTGACTCACTGGGGAAAAAAAAGAGCAGTATTGCCAAGCCACTCTCAGAAGCAAAGACTGCAAACCTCGACTGCCCATTGCAAAACTGCCTCAAAATCTGAAAGCCTTCTTTAAAGTTGGAAAAAAAACCCAAAAAAACAAAAAACCAAAAAAACCCCAGACTTCTTTAATCTAATACTTATGTGAATTAGTGGAGCACTGAATTCAGACTTGAATGGCTTCAGAGGGAAGGATGAGCCCAAGAAAACCCTTGTAATTTGCACAGAGGGAAATCTGAAGCAACGTCACCACAGCCAGTGGCATCGCTTTTCATTTCCATCAATGTAAAGGGGAAAAATAATCTGGTTTCTGGAGTTCAGATCAGGACATCAGATGAGCAAGCCTGGGCTTAGAAGTCCTACAGAACTGAAATGCCACAGACAAAGGCATTAAGAAACACTTATTGTGATGTTCTTCTTTCTGTTTACAAGTCCCCTTGTGGTCTTCTGAAATGGCCAGGGAACATTTTTAGCCACCCCCTCCAGGCTCCAGATTATGCCTTGGTTAGCAGATCATCTGGGCAGCTCTCTCTGTCTGTAACTCTATATGAATGACTTCAGTGACAAACAATACAACCATTCACTTTTTGTAAAAAAACAACCACTGCCACCAAATGTTTCTAATTTAAATATTTCTGGTTCTCTAGCTACTGGTTCCAATTTGGTATCAGCTACTGTCAGCCATAAATCCCAATGAATTTTGAAGTCATGATCCTGAATTGAGCTCTGCAAATGCAGAATTAGGAAGGAGAAATTAATATCTCCAAGTAGGAAGTTTAGACAAAGAACCCATCACAACCATTTGTGGATTACAGAAGCTCTTGCATGGGTACTGCCATTTAGCAGTGGTCAATCATCACATGTTCCAGAAAATGTGCATTCCTCAGGAAAGAAACAATATAATGGCATCTGAGAATGAAATCACTTCAGCTTTAACTCATGTTGACTCCTGGCATAGGACAGTTTATCCCATTTTCTTGCAGTCAAAATCACATAACTTCATCAAAACTGCCAATTTCAAATCATCCCTGGTCTATTCTAATTCCCAAAAATCCTTACCAGAGTACAAAATAGTCTGGAGCAAAGCTACACAAAGGACCCAAGGACCACTCTAATGATTTACTTGAACAAGTGTTGGTGCCTGGGACATTCCCTGACAAGTGTTTATTTCACTAGGTCCCCTTCAGAATCCACTTGTTTCTCTTCTTGCCCTGGCAGTGTAGAATTCCTCAAACAACATCTTCACACTGAGGTGAGTGCAAGGAGTAGTGGATTTCTTGCACACATTCCATTGCATGTTCAAAACAGATCAAGGAAGGCTGTTTCAATGACGTAAAAAGCCCTGCACTGAGTTAGCTTCACATGTAGGCTGAAGTTCTGAGCCAGTTCTTACTTGATTCAAATCCATTCTGCCCATCCCAAATCTAAATGAGCTCAGTCATTAGGCTCTAAATCTGTATTTCTCTGTGCCAATATTGGCCCCAATTCAGCAAGGCACTTAAATATGTGCTTAACTTCAAAAGCACAGTTAAGTCCCACTGATAGATTTGACTACAGGGGGATGTAAGCAAATAGCTCAGGGCTTTGCTAAATTGGAGCTTTAGTGACACAATCCTAGAAACATTTGTATTTTAACATGTTTATAGAAAATTATAACAATTAAGTGGAGTTCTTCCTTCCTCACATAAAAAACAATCCAGGACTTCCTCTTTCAAAAAGCTTACAGCAGCCAAACTTTCTTTTCGTAACCCCGAGGTCAAGCGCTTTTCCAAGAACTCATCTTAACATGGTGCCTTAATTATTTGTTTCCTCTGTGATGGTTCTGACACATATCTAAGCTCAGGTGAGCCTAAAAGCTCATGGTGGGTACTTTTTAGGGGAAGGACTACAACATTATCTCTTGGACAGAGCAAAAAACTCCCTTTTCCACATTCTGGGCTAGCCTGGGCTGCAGATCTGAAGTGCAATTTGGTTTTGTCCTATGCCACCATCCACACAACTCACACACATGTTGCCTTCTGAGGGTTTTTCTGACATATTTATCCTTAAAATGGGTTTGTGTTCTCCTCTCTAGAGGTTACTCTAAAGGCAAGAGCAGGTTCTCTCTCTCTACATATATGTAGAGACTGCTAGCCATATTTCTTGCTGAAATTAAAAAAAAAAAGTAGAACTGAAAATGTGACAATGACTTTGTCTTCTTCAGTCTTCAGCTAAAGCACATTGCCTCCTTGTATTACTACAAAATCTTGAATATCTACCCAAATCCATGGGGCTGGATGGGGACTGGTGAACCTGTGCTGACTGGAAGAAGGATCAAGCTCTTTCTTAAAAAGGTCTTTGCCTTCAAACCTGATCTATGACAGCAACAACATGAGTGGTGTCACCCATGGTCCCTTCAGCGATGTCCCCTCAGTACTGCTGGGTTTGACTCTGACAGTGATCCCAGCAAACCCCTATTTCAAACTGAAAGGGTCAAAATGAAGCTAAACCCAAAGGTTTACAGAAAACCCTTGCCCCAGCCCAAGGTAAGCCCAAGAGAAAGGAGAGGCACGAGCCAGCACGTCCCCCTCACTGTCCCCATCACTAGCAGGGCAAGTTCTCCTTGGGGACGGGGTCTGCCTCCAGCCTGCCTGCACCCTGTGGTGTGAGCTGCTCCTGCCAGGAGGGTCCATATTGAACTGATAAAGCTCTCAAAGCCCCATCACCCTGCCAGCTTGGAAGTGGGACCGTGTCCCTGGGCGTCAGCAGACCCACAGGTCTCCCTGCCAGAGTCTGTCCAGGCAAACAAAGAAAATGCATTGCCTTCCACTTTAATAAAAGCCAAATGATGCCGTTTGCCAATTACCAAAACGGGGCGAAGGTTAAAAACCCATTGAATTATAACACATGTCACGGACCAAAGCTTCTATGATTAACAGTTCTGTGAGAAATTCATTAATTTCACCCGAAGCAAGCTGACAGAGATTGTGCTTAATGACAGAATGCAGGGCAGGGGAAAGGCGGCCGAACAGGGAAAGAGAAAGCTGCATTAATTCACAACAAAAAGAGACGAGGAAACCCTTTTTTCCCCCTTATGAAAAGGAAAAAAGAAAATAAAATAACCAGAGTTGTAAAGAGCAGTTGCATTTGTTCTGCTGCTGAAGATTTATCTTCATCATTTCTTGTTGGGGAAGCTGACAGCAGGGAGAACAAGACAAAGAGAAGAGCTGGAGTGGGCTAAGAGTCCCTGGGGCTTGTTTGGGGCAGCAAAGGGTGCAGCTCAAAGGGAACCTCTTCATAGAGGCCAGAGCAGGTGATGGTGTGGTGGCCAGGGGTGGATCTTGGTCTACAATGTCAAACACCCAGATATGCACACTTACAGAGGGAGGAAAACCCAAGATCTCCCCTGCAGAAGCAATTTTGAAGCCGTAGCAGTGAGGCTGTGCCAAGGTTTAACCAGAGAAAGCAAAGGGAAATCTTTTTGCTACACTCATTAGAAAGCACGAGGTGGTGACAGTGCAAGGCAAGAAGACTGGAGAGCAGTGGGCAGCCAGGGGGGACCTGTCTTCAGTATGAACACGGAGTTAATGGCAGATTAGAATGATGGAAACTCCTGAAATGCACAGCTCTGACAGCTGGACTGGGTGAATTGGGCGAATTGGACTTTCCTGCCTCCTGCCTGCAGTTTGCAGGAGAGGAACAGTGGCACCAGGAGGGGTGGTGGAAGAGACAGGTCTGGGGACCACAGCAGGGAAGTGCCACCATGGAAAAGCAGCACTTCCCAGGAACTGCTTTGCCAGGGATGGGTGACCCACCGCTGACATTTCCTACCCAGTGAAAAAGACAAAAACCTGATTTTCGAGGAACCACTGTCAAAGGCAGCCACAGCACATCAAGCCTTCTTGCTGCTGGAGTGACTGGTGGGTGGGAAATTACACCTCTGCTTCTGCACACCCAATTTCACTGTCCACTGCGTGAGGCTACACAGGAAACAGTAAAAGTATAATAATTCGAGCTATAAAGCACAAGAGAAGAACTAACCAGGCCATTATGTCTGGTCTAAGGATGAAATGTGGAAATAAAGAGTGTCATTTTTACAGCACATCTCCAGTAGTGAGGTAAACTTCTGCTGAAAACAAAAAAAAAAAAAGTCTGTAGTCACTGGCAGCAGAAAAAAACAACTGGAAGAATAAAACTGGAAAGGACAGAGTAGGAATTTTCAAACTATAAATGTCTTCAGGAGGATGGAATGGATTTTCAAAACAACTAAAGATGACTGAGAACAACTACCTATAAAGTTCAATTGGACTTTTAGATTTAAGCCCATTTTTCTCTAAAATACTAACTATAATACATATTTCAAGAAAGAAGAGTAAGAGCAGGTTTTATTTTCAGTCATTAAGTTGTCACTAACCCTTGGGAGGGATCTATTCACCCTCAAAATAAAAACCGTGTTAACTTTTAAGGGACAATATATTTCTTTTCCTTCACAATTTTAAAATGTGCACCCTGCCTAGAAATATCTGTATCTGGCTATAAATCCTCTCCAAGCAAAATAATTCTCCTCGAAATAGAGAAATAATATCTCTTATAGAGAGAAGCCAAAAAGCAGGCAAAAATATCCATGTTGACCTAAGGAAAATGAAAGGGGTAAAATTGATGATCACACATAGGAAGGCAAGTTCCTTTAAAAATTCAATAAATACCTTAAAAATCATATTAGACAAATGCAACCACTGGGGAAGGGGAGAAGGGAAAGATGGGCAGTGTGGAACTGGCACCTCAAGGGAATCTGATGGGCAGACTGTGAGCAGGGGAGGCAGAAAAGGCACATGCAGCCTCTGAGCTGGTTAAGAAATCATTTTAAAAATCTATCTTTCTCTGTTCTTGCTGGATTGGGTAAAATAACCAAGGAAAAAGATAGCAGGTGACAGCAAAGATGTCACCTATTTCTTGGCTGCACAACTTAATGCACAACTTTTTCTACATTTTGGATACCTGAACTTCTTGGAGTTTTTTGTACAGAAGAAAACAGATCTGGCCACCCCAAATGATTCCAGCACAAGGCAAACTGGGGACTGACTCTCCACTGAAGCACTGTCATCAGTGGAAATAATTCCACTGATTTCAATTGCCTTTGGACCAGGGCTTTACTTGGGAGAGTTTCTAGTACCCTGTCAGACACGGGAAATGTTATGATCAATCCAGTGCTGGAACCTACATGAACTAAAACATTACTTTGAAAGAGTGAGGCTCAGATGGGGGTTTGGGAGAACAGGGGGCTGAGAGGGTTCAGTGCATCCCCAAAAGAAAATGATGCCAAAAAGCCAAGAAGAAACATAAGAGGCAAAAGGCAGGTGATTCCTCCTCAAGGGATTTCTAAAGGTTGGGCTGCTGGGCTGCAGAGGCTCACTGAAGCTTTGCCTAAGGGGGATGCATTTTTTATTAAGGAAATAACTTTCCAAACACAGAGCACTTCTAGTTCAATAAGTGAACAAATGGTTCAATTCCTACTCAAAACTTGAGAGGGCAGTGGAATGTGGCCCTGTGTCTCAGTCCTCCTGAGCTCCCTGTTGCTTCTCACCCTCTCTTTCCAGTGGGGTTTTCTTGCCCTTTTTCTGTCCTGCTTTGGCGCTGGGATTTGGCCACACTTCCACCACCAGATTTCTCATCTGAAACTTGATCCTGCTGTCTTTGGGCCTCTGAATTTATACAACCTATTGCACACAACGATCAGACGCTTTGAATCTAGGTCAGAACACACTGACTGGATTGATTTAGCTATAGATATACTCCTTTTTTTAATTTTATTTTCCCTCCCCTCTCCCCCTTCTCACTCTCCTGCCTTTCCTGGAATAAAAGCAGGTCCTAAAAACAAGCCAGAACATTATCAAAAAACCTGACAGCTTGCTTAGGAGGCTGAGCAGAGGTTTGCTGGGATATGCAACTAGTTTTACTATTGCTGCCGCTATGGTATGACAACTGCTCACAACTTTGAATTCACAAAGGAAGAAAAAAAATATTCTTTCAGGGGTTTTGCTAAATTCTCTCCTCTTCTTTTCAGTGCCTCACTGAAAGGATCCATGAAGCTGCTGCACCAGAGGCCATGAAAGGTCACAATCTCTGTGGGATGCTGTAAAGCAGAGACTGAGAGGGGTTGGTGGTGATCTATTGATGTGTCTGTAATAACAACAAGAATAAAACGGTAGCCATAAACCTTTCATCCTGGGGGGTCCCACAGAGCTTTTCAGAATGGGGGTCGGATCCAGAGAGGTGCTGAGGGCCTCACCAGCCATAAAAACACAGCAGATGCTGATGGCCAGGGCTGAGCACCTGGCAGGATCCAGCCCCTCCAGGGCACAGGCGTCACTCTGTGTCCATGCAGGCCCTTCCCTGGGAGGTCCCTGGCACTCTGGCAGCACAACGGGGTTCAGATTGAACTGCTGTGTGAGTGGCCAACACGACAGCGAGCTGGGGAATGTGTGTAGAGTGAACTGGCCCCAATTCCAGGCTTGGCATAAAGGAGGGAGGAGAAAGGAAGAGGAAATAATTCACTAACAGCATCCCATGCGGGTTAAATGTCCCATCCATCCTGATCAATGAGAACACTGCCGGTTTTTTACCCGTGACACAAAGGGGTCAGCAGGGTTCAGCTGCTGTGCCCCTCCTGCCTCCTCCCCAGCCCCAGCAGGCGCTGGGGGTGGTGGGTGTGAGGCAGAGGGAAGCAGGGCTGACACGCTCACCTCTGCTCCGCAGGGCTGTAGGTCTGTCCTTGCTGGCAGCTGCTGATGGTGATGGGGTCGAAGTTGTGGAAGGAACGCAGGGCCACCCCAGAGATGGCCACAAACTGGGAGCTGAAGCTAATGAGGACAGCCTGGGTGTGATAAAAAGGGTGACTGAGGTCATGGATGACGGGGATAATCAGGGGATTGTTTCTGCAGCTCAGGACGTGGACACCTGCCAGAGGAGAGACAAGATCAGAGGAAGGGTCAGGCTTAACACAATTGCTTCCCGAAGCCATGGGCACTTCAGAGGCATTTCACCCAGAGGAATGGCCCTATAGAGCTGAAAAGTTATGGTAAGCTGCCTGGAGGGGCTTCCCAAATCGCTGCAGAGAGCTTAGCAGAGAAGCAGATCCCTCCAGACAGCTGAAGAAAGGCTGCCATTCTCTCTGCGAGCGCGGCAGGCCCTCGGAGCCGCTCCTTTAGACCACAGCTACGTTTCTATTGTGCTCTGGTAAATCAGGAGCAACCAGCACGGGGGAAGCAGAGTCACACCATTGTAAAACAGGTCCTGGAGGACACTTGGAGCCTTTATATGCAGGATCAAATGGTGCCGGCAGGCTGGGGAGCTTTGTGCACCAGGGCCGGGGCAGCAGCAGCTTGTTTGGAGCTGTGCATGTCATTAGCGCTCAGTGTAAAACTTCTTTTTGCATGAGTTTTCCACTAAATTTGCCCAGATTTGATTTTTTTTTCTTCAATAGTTTTAAGCCTTAGGGTATCTTGCTTTTTGCAAGAAAAGGCTGATTTGGTCCTGGAGTGAGGACCGAAGTGAGGGTGATGGAGCCACTGAGGATTTTACAGGTGATGTCACTTGAGAAGAAAAGAATTGTTTTCTGAGGAAATAAAAGTATCTCAAGGTTGCAGTGCATAGGAACACCAGAGAGGTGGCAAGGAGACTCCTGAGTCCCTTTTGTCCAGTGGATAAGGCACTCAGTGACAGCTGGGAAGAAATTCCCACCTTCAGGTAGAAGCCTGAATTCAAATGGGCCAAACCCTTCTCAGGGGAAGGCAGAGGACAGACAGCTGTCGGCTGCCCTCAAAATTCATTAATTGAGATTCATGGCCTGCTGGCTGCCTGCAAGGCTCTGCCTCCACAGCTCCATGGCATCACTCCGAGGATCAGCTTGGCTCCAGATCCATTTGCTTCACTGGAGCTCCCCCAGCAATGGCTTTGGCCCAGGCCCCTTGGCTACCCTGATACACTTACAAATTTGAAAATAAAATAAATTCTATTTGCATGTTTAACTGGCTCAGGGATTTCTGTTATTATTTTTTTCCCCCAGTTCGTATTTCTTGACTCAAAAGGGAAGGAATAAAAAGGCTTTCATTTTTCTCCTTAGAAAGTGACTTCCTGTGAATTAAGACACACTCTTTAAACATCTATCTCCCACCCTCTGCTTAAAAAAATCTTCCTGTAATAAAAAAAAAAAAAAATACTAGAAAAAAGCAAGTCTCTTTTTGTTTTGGTCTTCATCTGACCCTGAAATAACCTCCCTGTCTACTTGCCTCCCAGAAGTCTTTTGATATCAGCTCCTTGTGGAACGGTGCACGTTTCTCACTTACAAACAGGTGCAGTTAATACTCAAAATCCCGGGTTCCCAAATTCCTTGGAAGTTTCTGCATTCTCTGATGGAAAGCCAAGACCTTATGGTATGAGGCTGTTTATTCACTTCTATTTCATTCCTTGCACTCAGGTGGTGTCCACAGCAGAGCACAACCTCAGAGCTGTGCTGCACTGCTGGTTATTTCTGACCAGGAAAACGGAGGCTGGATAGGTGAAGGTTTTTTAATTCCCCTGAAATACCCATGAAGATGGTACAGGTGCTCATGGGGGCAGTCAGAGCTGTCTCAGGATCACCCCTGTTTCTGTGGCTCTGCACCCATCTGTTCAGCTCAGCAGCTGAACCCTGGTGTCTCTGATGGCTCTGAACCAACAACTTGGAGCTGTTTGGCATCCCAACCTCTCCAACTCCTACCAGCACTTAGAAGAAGCTTCACATTATTTTCTGGGAGTCCACTTGCTCTGATCAAGGCAGAAAACTGCATGTCTGGATAGGCTATTCTTTGCTCATGGCAGTGTCTTCAGCACACTGGGGATTGATTGAGATTTAAATTATTGCTACTTCCTTTTGGATGTACTTTCAGTTTGCCACGAACTTCTGCTTAAGGCTCATTGAGTGTCTCAGTCAGTCCTGCCCCCAGTGCATGCCAACATTTGCATCTCAGCTGCAGTTTCCAGCTTGCCATGGTGATAATTCAAACACATGAAACACAATATCCAGGAAAAGGACTTCATGTCCCTGTCAGAATCAGACAGAACAGCAATGGGGAGCTCTGCCTGAGTGAGAGCTGCTGGGTAGCCCACCTACACCTCTCCTCTGCTCCAGGCAGCCTCTTCTGAAAGGTCAAAGGGGCTTTTCCATGATGAAAGCAGCATTTCAGCTGGGAGGACATCCAGACATCAGGCTGAGCCATGCCAAACTCATGTTGCAACTTCATTGAAGATTTCAAAACCTAACCCTCCGTTTCCTCTTTGCTCCTCTTTCTTGTTCTCTTTCTCTCCCAGCCTGCCTGTCTGTCCCTATAAAATGTCACATTAAGTACTGCTGGCATGCTCGTGGCTCCATCATTTATTTCTCAGAGGGATAGAGCTATGTGCCACTGTTTTGCAAAAGAAGGGTAAGATTAATTCAAGGGCTCTGGCAAACTGGGAGCCATCCTGACTCAACCTGCACAACTTGCTACAAATTTCAGTTTGTTCTTGGACAACAGACAGCATACGTATTTCCTTTGTTCTCTTCCACACCCCACCTAATTCTGTATTATCCTGGATGCTCATCCAACACGTGTCACTCTGTGTCTCTTCTTCTCATCACTAGTGACAAGCTCATTTGTGTTTCAGCTTGTTAAAACTGAAATGCTATGGTAAAACAGAAAGCTGGGGGATGGGAGTTATGTTTCCTTAAAAACTGCTCTCAAGGTGACCTGGCCAGCTTTCTCCTCAGTGAAAAAAAAGGCAGAGAACATCTGGAAAGGGATTATGCAAGTCCTACCCTGACACAGAGTTGGGAGCTAGGGAGAGCTCCTGGGTTCTGCAGCTTAAAGGCAGCCTGGATCAATTCACCAGGCACAACGTCCCCAGTTTAGGGGCCTGTGCCAAGGGTAGAGACAAAACCTGTCTGTGCCAGCACTTCAGCACAAGAGCAGGTCCTGCCTCTGTCAGGCACATCTGCTTGAGGCCATGCCAGGAGCCTGGCAGGGCCCTGGAGCTGACCCTTCACCCCCTGAAATACTTCATCTGGGGAATTCTGGTCATTAAATGGCTCTGAAGACCTCCCTGCAAGGAGGACTGGAGATCACCCAGCACTCCCTGTGAAACAGAAGCCTTTTTGCAGCAGCTGGTGCAGGTCCCTCACTCCCTGTTCCCAGGGGTTCACCTGCAGCACCATCAGTGTCTCTCCAGGGCAGTGCTGGGTGGGAAGCTTTGAGATATTGCTGATTTTAGTGACTGAAGAGGAGCTAAGCACCTCTGAACAGATAGTGAACAGCTATGGAGTAATGTCTGTATAAAATAACATATCATTTTCAACAAACTCTAGTGAGACTCAGGGCTTGGAGCATTGAGCAAGCACCTTTTTTTGTCTAAATCTGAAAAAAACCTGAGAGGGAGTACTGGTGAATGGGGGCATCACCACATTAAGCAAGCAGTAAAGAGGGAATTTAATACAACACAGTCTTACCAAGGTCGTGGCTTTGCTCTTTGGTGTCAAACAGCTGCACACCAATGCTCTCCTGCTTCTGGTCCAGGTAGTACGTCCCATCTGTGACCAAGTGAACAAGGACTGCTGCAGCCACCATAGGCTGGGAAAAATAAGCCTGGGAAAACACAAACCCCACAAAGCCTGAGGTGGAGAACTGTGGTGGGCTTTAAAAAATCCCCAGGAGTCAGTCCAGGACTTTTAAAAGAAGAATTCCCATCCCAGGTCACACAGAAATCTTCTCTTCCAATCTCTCCTACACAAACTAGATAAATTCAAGTCAAACAGCCCTGAAGCTGAACCCTCTCAGAAATTCAATAGCCGTGTCACACACAAGGGGACTTCACTACTGACCCTCTAACAGTGCTCAAAAACATTGCTTTGCTCTTTTGCTCTAAACATACTTCAGAAAGGAGCAGCTTGGCCCTGGGAAGACTGGCCCACAATATTTTGCTTGCTGGAGAATCTTTGTAGAGGCAGTCAAAGAGGAAACTTCTGAATGGTGTGTGCACTTCCTACCTTCAGCCAGAAAATGGTCTGAGTCATGTGGGAGTACTGGAAGTTGGCGGTGCAGGGATACCAGGCGTACTGGGACACACCATCGTTCAAGTCGATCACCTTGGTACGACACATCTGCAGCAGGAAAAAAAGAAACACCAAAACTGACCTAGAGGACAGCAAGGAAGGGTTCTGACTGCTTGAAGTGGGGAAACAAAGTCCAGGTGCACTCCTAGGATAAAGTAATGCACAATAACTGAACTTCTAAACACTATGAGATTATTCAAAATTAAGTTTCCAGGTCTTCCACCACAGTAAGAAAAACTGAAACATGAACAGGAGCTAAAGACTCACAGCAGCAGGGTGGTAGCCAACAATCTCCTCTGAATTTGGTACCAGGTCTTTGACAGCATTTAGAACAACTTTGCTCCCACCCAAATGGACAAGGATCACTTCTGAACACTCCAGCTCCCAGCACAGACACTGTGGATCTGGCTCCATGGTGTTCCAGCACTGCCCTATTTATACCTGATATTACTGTAACCCCAGAGGAGCTACACATGGCCCTGTAAACTCAGAACCAGTTGAAGCCAGGGAAGTCCTGCCTCTAGAACCCAATTTAAGCAAATTGATTTCCTCTTTCCCCAACCAGTTCTGCAAGTGGAATCACCTTCTTCCTGCACCTTTCCATGGCAGGCAGCAGTGAAATTGGAGGCAAACTGCTCTTTTCAATGAAGTACAGGATTCCCAAGTCCTGTTATGATGAAAAGTCTAAAAAAAAAGCCAGAATCTAAACACCAGATAGCTTTGCAGTGCTACCAGTGTGTCAGATGTGAAAATGAAGCTGCAAGAAATGGTCAGAATTACCCTGAAAACACACTGCTCAGTGAAGCTGCTTCAAAAAAGAAGCATGAACGACCACAGCCTTCACCTCCACAGCAAACACAAAAAAGGGAATGTTCACCATGGAAAAAGTTACTATGCATTAGAAGGATGCTTATAGCTGAGGCTCCTGGAGCATCTGAAAGGTACCTGTTGGATTCACAAGCTTTGATGAACTCACTGACTGTCATTACCATAGCAATAGATGGAATTCCTTGTGCTGATGTGCTGTCAGTAAAGCTGTTCCCATCAGCAATTTTATTATTAAAACAAAAAGAGAACACTGAATTGATACAAGAAAATTAGCAGCCATCCAAAATCCTATGCCCACTCGATAATTCTGCATAGAAATGCCCTCTTGGTCCTGGCAGGCAAAGTCTGGGCACTGCAAAGAAAGCCTGGGATGCCTGGGAATGAGAAACCAGATTGGCTAAAAGTGAGGTAATCCCCTTTAAAATCTGAGTCCCTCAAGATCCAGCACAGAGGAATCTTACAGGCAAAACATAAATCAGCTTTAATAGGCTGGAAGAAGATTTTTGGTTTATTTATTTTTTGAAACAACTGGGACCAAGCTTCATTGAGGCTAGCCAGTGGATAGTGTTACATTTTACAGCAGAGCAAGGCTTTACATAAACTATCTTTGGCATTTGAAATCCAGGCCAGCAATTCGACATGTACCGTTTCGCAACTCTCCCTTCTTGCGTTTTCAGCAGCCTGTCTCTTGTTGGGAGCATGGTTTTTATTTTAATACCTCTCCAGCTAGGGAATTTATCTCACCCACATCTGCAATATATATGGTCAGAGAGCTCTTTGACATGAACAAAGGTCTCATTAGTTTTATATGATTTTGTTCATATTCTTACTTCTCCTGCTCTGTTGGTCCAAAAAGGTGGCTGAAGGAAACACAGGCACTGACTTTTGGTACTTTTTAAGTGCCACTTAATGGATGAGTGAAAACTTGTATTAAGAAATCACCCAGATCTTCACCAAAAGTTTGATTCTAACCCAAAATAAACCCCTGCTGAGGTGGGCTGGAAATCTCTGATAACTTTTAAATGCCTTGTTTGATTTGTGTGTGTGTGTGAACCCTAGCACTCTCTGCTTCTGCTGGAGAATATTAGCAAAAATCTGAGCATTGCATAAAGAGCCTGTGTTCAGGCCACGTGGGCTGCCAGACTGGCCTGGTTTGAGCAGGTTAGATAAGCTTCCCCCTGCTGAGGCTGATCCATCGCTACCCAGACAAGTGTTTCAAAGTGGTCCTGGGGTAAAAGGCTCTTTTAGAACAGTCTAATTGAGAAGAGTGGGAAAAGTCTAAGAGAGATGAATGGCTACAAGAGCCTCTTCTCCACTTGCTGCTGGCCAGTAAACTTAGCTAATGGCAGAAAAAAAAAATAATCAAAGTTCTTTAAGTTTCAGTGGAAACAATTGGGTGGGATAAACAGCTCCTGCAACCTATAGACTCCACCACCTCACCAAGCTCCAACACATGTGGTAAATCCATTCCTGTTTCAATTCTGCACATGCACTGAATGTCACATCACACCTGCCAAGCCTGAGAATCACCTGCTGGAAAAGTCTTTCACACCTCTGCTTTTAAGGCATCCCCAGACTGTGGCAGCAGCCCAAAGATCCCTATTAATTAATTAGGTTAATGGTTGGACTCAATGATATTAGAGATATTTTCTAAGCTAAATGATTATGTGATTACTGCAGTACCAACACTTCTAGAAGTACAAGTTCCAATGGCCTGGAAGACAGGATATCATCTCTCGTCATTGCTATTCACAGGAATTCACACTTATGAGAAACAGACTGTATCCTAACATCCTCCAGTTTGCTACAGTGATGCAAAGCAGCAGCTAAAGCACCTGACAGCTGCAGAGGGAAGAACACATCGATAGCCTTCTCATTTCAGGGTGTTACCAAACACTGAAGTATTTGCTTTGAAGAATGACAGCAGCACACAGTGCTCCAAACTTCACTCACTGGGGCTTATCCAGACTCTCAGACCCACACAGCAAGTGGGATATCCACAGGAGCTTAGTATGTGCTCCAAAGTATGCAGTGACTATTTGTGTCTAGTTACTGGAAGCCCATGTCATTCCCCTCCCGAGGAAGCTGCTTTCAATTAGAAGAGCTGATGTCTGTTCCTCTCGGAGGTTCAAATCCAGCTCGTCTCCCACCCACACATTTTGTACACAAACATCGGCAGACAGAACGATCAAGGCCAGGGAGCACTGTGGGATCTTCCCACAAGAGGGAATGCCTGGAGGATTCCCTTTGACTGATTTATACAACCTCTTGTCAATCAAAGGCACAACATGTTCTTCAAACCGCCTCTCCTGTTTTCCTTCTCTTACTCAGGGGGACTGAGGAATGTGTCAGCAGAAAGGGAAAAGTGATATATTGGGAGCACTTAGCTTTTTGCCACATCAAAAACACATTTACTATTGCAATCAACTCCATTTCCTTCAAAGTAATATGGGAAAATTTGCTGAAGAGCAAATTTTGGAAGGCGCCCTTGTGAATGATTCCCAGCCATCCCGTGACTGCAGGCAATGTGAATTTGCATTGATGGGTTCCTGTTGCAGCTGAACTACATGTTATGGATCCCAGATCCCCTGGACGGGCACTGGACTAGATCCCAGCCCAACTGTGGCAGTGCACGGCCCCAGTACAACCTTCTGGGCAACACTTGGCTTCTCCAGGCCTGAGCTCCCTGTCTGGAAGATGAGGATTATGTTCCCCCACACCACACGGGTGTGCTGAGGATGAAATCCATGAGCTATGAGCCACACAAAGATGCTCAGGCGTCACTGAGAGCACACACAGGTGTGAGGATACAGCTCCCCACGGGAGTGGGCTAAACACAGATCCCATCCCACTCTGACCTTCCCACCAAACAAGCACAGTCAGACACCACAGGCTTTGCACACAGTGGTGGTTCTCAGCACTGTAACATCAAAATAATTCTAAATGCAGACAGAAAAGCTGCTATTTAAGCTCGGATGCTGCCCTACTCAGCCCTGGCACCGTGGTTGGAGCGGACGTGCCTGTCTGCATGCCCAGGGGCGGCTGGAACACAGAGCAAACCTCCAGTGCACTGATCTGTCTGCTCCCAAAATCCCATCTGGTGAGCCACGGCAGGGCTTCCTCCAGACCGTGTCCTCGAGCTCTGTCTGGCTGTGAGGGGCATCATGGGCACTTGGTCAGGCAGTGGCAAGCATCCTCCTTCTGGAGAGGAGGGTGGAAGTGGAGATTGTGCTACAAAAACTTCCTCTCCCCACTCCTTTCTACAGGGGTCTGTGCTGCTGACACTTCTGCACCAGACAGACAACTCAGAGTGTTTCTGGGGTGAAACGGGCTGTACCCTGTTCTGTTGGCAAAACTGCAACCATGGAGCAGGCAGGAACAAGATCTCTTGGTAAATCCCACTGTAGCAGCTATTTACTGAGCACAAAACATCCTCAGTGAGGCTGCAGAAATGCACAGAAAAACTCACAGACTGATACAAAACCCATGGAGGCACAAACAGAACATCTTCTCTTGTTTGAAGGTCCAGCTAAAGAACAGATTTCAGCCATAATACTGAGACCTGCAGTATTCTACAGTAATCTACAATGTTTATCTGTTTGCTCTGCAGATTGTTATTTGTATTTAACTCAACACATGCCAGAGGATCCCAGCCATGACATAAGCAGCATTTTAATACATCCCTTACAGCTGAAAACTTTCTCCCTCCCTTGCCAGACCAGGGTGCTGGCAGTCACCGAGCCTTTTTATTCTTAAATATGTTATTGTTCTTGCTGACCTAAGGTTAATCTTACCCAAGGAGGAGAAACTATGGTGCAGTTGCTAAATATCAGAAAGGTTCCTGCTTGTTTATTGCCCAATATTGTAAGGCAGCTTGACTGCCACATGGACACCACCCAGTTTGCCGACTGCAGCACAGACCTCCAATCTGTTCTCAAAGCTGTTGCACTGCTTTTCTCATTTAGGCTGGGAATTGGGTTGGAATCAGGGAAAAAGGAAGTTGCCCACAAGTGAGCACCGAACCATTAAAAGGCCTCCAACAAACACCTCAAACCCCAGCCAATTTCTCTGACCATTCCAAACCTCAGGAGCCGACAGAGCTCAAATGGAAATTGTACACACAGCAGTACAAGGAATTTTGCTCTGGGTTTTCTTCTAGATTCTGGTCAGAAGTGCTTTTGGACAAGTGTCGTTATCAGATGTCTTGTCAGTGGACTTAT